AAGAACTGGAATACGAAAACAAAAATGAAATACTTTCAATTTTGTTAGTTTTAATAATAACTTTTTTTCTAAACGTTCACCATCAATAAATTCATGACTATATAAATTCAATGCTAAACGTTCTAGATTAGGGCAACAATGAGATAATAGCAATTCTAAATAATCATAATTAGCACTAAAAACAGTGGAGAATACAAAATGTTTTAATTTTGATAATGTTGAAGGAATATTTTTATCATAATTAAATTGGACGTCATTTTGTTCTTGCTGTTGGTACTGCCGTCTTCGTTTAATGTGCGGTATATGAATATTTACATATTCATATGAATATTTAACAGAACATATACATTATCAAGAGAATGTAATTTTACTGTCAAGTTTCTAATAGAAAAACATAGTTGAAAGATATGAGTGAGTATTAAGAGATAAGTAAACATTATCCAAAACTAATGTTTGTAGTCGACAATCAGATTGAAATAGATTTGAACACAACTCATTTGATACAGTTTCATTATATTCTTGTACAGCAAAATGAATTTTTAAATTTAATAATTGTTTAAACAATTTTAAATATAATAAATATTTTCCATTCTTTTCAACTTTCGTTATAAAAACTGATTCAAGATTCGGATATATTTTTGAATATAACGATAATGGAAACACGAAGTCAACATTTTTATCATCAACTTTAATTGCTTTGATATAATAATGAATTTTTGGTAAAATTGTTTGGTAATATTTGTTCAACGAATACTCGTCGGCATCGGATAAATTTATTGCACATAAAAATGGATAAATAAGATGATTAAAACGATCATTTAAATTGAAAAATGAATAAATACTATCAACAGATTTTAAATAGAGAAAAATAAAGTCATACAATTCGTTTGGTAGACTTGATTCTAATGTTGATATTTCCTAGAACAAGAATATGAGTGAATTGCAAGTGCGTTTTACAATCAACTTTTTTCTTCATTTGGGCTATAACTTCTATTCATCTCAACCGATTTCAAAAAAATTTTTCTCTTTCGTTCCTAATGGCTTATTCAAGCAACTCTAAAAATCTCAGCCCTAGATGTCGTCAGAACACTGAGATAGAGTCATGTGATATCAAAAAAACCGTTTTCCTGATGACTTATCCTTAGAAAAAGGAAAATTTTCTAGAAACAGAAGAAGTAGGCAAAAAACTGAAATGTACGTTTTCAACAGTTTTAAATTGTCTCTCGAGCCGTACTATCGGCGTATTCTAAATATCACTTTCTGGTCTTTTGGGGGGAGGAAAAGCTTTGTGGAGACGATGAAGCGTGAGATTTTGAAATCTTTCAGAGTCTGAAAGCACTGCTCTGCAAAACAAGTCCGACTAAAAGATGCAGCTCGCCGAGCTGCATCTATCTGCGTAAAAATCATTTCATAGGTAAATAGTTTGCAGAAGGAAAAACTCAAATAGCTGTTTTTTCACTCAGTTTGAAGCGTGGGATTTTGATGACTGTTTTTTCTCTAACTTCTAAATGGACGAATC